TGAATAAATGCTGTGTGATGTTTAGCAGCTTGTGCTAAAACTTTTTCAAGGAAATGCTTGTTCATTAGTGTAACCATGGCAAAAGATCACAAATGACATGTTGGTGTAAAGAGGAGTTTTGTTTTGGGGAACTGGCATCTTGTAGGCAGTGATGGAGTGATCAGCACTGATTTATGCAGCATCATTTTTGCTGCATTTTGTTGTATTAGGCCTGTGCAAAAGGTATCATGGACAACATAGCGCCAATTAAAAGTAAAGTAATGTTAAGGTGGGCATAACCTCACCAGCTTTCTGGAGCTTTGTACCTAAATCTGTGTGTGGTCACACGTCACAAGGCAGAGCAGCCTCCTTCGGGGCCCTGTTATGGGTAGATAATTTGCTTCCACGCTGTTGCTTGCCTCACCCTGGGTTTTTAATAACTAGAGATCTGCTTCAACCCCGAGGCACCAGCTTTAATATCATAGAGTCATACAATCGTTATGTTGGAAAAGACCTTCAAGATCATCGAGTCCAACCGTAAAACCTTTAACTGTGCTTGTTAAACCACGTCCCTAAGTGCCTCATCTACACCCAATCTGCACTAGGCTGGAATGAAACCCTTAATTTGGGAACTAGCCAAGGCCATGGCTCTGGGCAGGAGAAGGGGGACGACCGTGCACTGGCTTTTGGCACAACCGGGTGCTGGAGCAGCCCATGTTGTGGTGGGAAGGGTGCATGGAGGGTGTTGAGCTGTTCTCATGCAGCGCTTCAATCCATGGGCTCTGTTAAACTGCCTCGATCTGCGTTTGCAGCCTCCGGATGAGAAATGCTTTGTGTAGGGCCAGGATTAAATCACAGTAGGAAATGCCTAATGCATGAATCTTATTTCCATCCATGCAAAAAAGTGAAAAGAGCTTCTGACGAGGATTATAATTTTTTTTTTTAAAACTCTCCTCTAAATTTATAAGTTGCAGCTGTTTTGGTGTCTCTTCTCCTCATGCCCAATTTGTACCCAGTTATTTTCATGATTGCAGGAGGGCAATAAATTGAAACTCTGCACATCCTAGCACCCTATGGTTGGAGGTTTGCAAGGATGTTCTTGTGGGACAATGCAATGTGTTGAATGCAAAGCTTCCCTGCTGCAGGAGTGTGACTCTGGGGCTGTGCATGACCAACAAAAAAGGCAGGAATGAGACTGTTTGTTTGCAGTGTGAATGCCCAACACAAGGGGAGCTAAACTCAACATAAAGTCATATCTAAGTCCCTGATTCTGGGCTCAGGAAAGCAGGATGTTAAATAAATTTGATCTACTTGGGAGCATCAGTTTAGTCTGTGCTCTAGATCTGAGGGCAGGAGATGAAATTTGAATCATTGGACCAATAGACTTTGGTCTGCAGAGCTACTCTAGGCTAAACCAGGGGGAGGTTCAGATGCGGGGATTGTCCACTTTCCTCCTCATATCCACGGACAGAATTCCTCGCTCACTGCTGAGGGATTTTGGAGCCATTTCAACTCCTGCCTTCCTCCATCCTGTTTTCCTTAGCTGTATTTTAAGAGAGTAACCACCTGATGTCCCATCATTGCAAAGGTCTGTGCAAGCCTAGCAGTGCAAATATTTTTAAGGTCTGACCCTAGAAGATAAGATGATATTTATATTCTCTTCAAGGAGAATCCCCTATCCTAGCACATAGTGTTGATTCCAAAGGGCTTTTTTTTTTTTTCCCTCTTCAAAACCAGCACAGAACTAATGTCTCTACACAGTGTCAGGGGACTCTGTGTTACTCTAACTGTCATGTGTTAGATGAGATACAAAACACAGGGTTTGACAGCTGGCAACTGTTCAAGATCTTGGTTTCCTGGAAAGCTAGAAATGTTTGCTCGGATGGACATGGCATCCTGCACACTGAGCAATTACATCCAGCCCCTGCGGAAATCCATGGCGAGGAGAACGTGGTGCATGTGTGCTGGCTCTGCAGACACGAGTGGTCCTTGCGTGTTTGCTTTCCTGGATTGAGACTCAAATTACTGGTGTCATTAGAGTTGTCCAAAACCAGGGGTAGCATCACTAATCCCATGGAAAAGCGGATCGTGGTGTTGTGGGGCAAGCAGCTCCCCTTATGGGCTTAGCAGCTATTAGCACTTGTGCTTGATGCTTGTCATTGCCTGCCCTGGAAGTTCTTTGCAAAGGTCAATCCCAGGTTTATCCTTAGGGAAACCTCAACTTGGAGCAAGGAAAGGACACAGCCAAAATTCACATTGTGAGACTCCAAGCAGAGGTCACAAGCCCCTAGGCCACACAAGCTGGTTGCAAAGCATGGGGAAGGCTGCGGAGAAGAAGGTCTTTCTTTCTGGTGCTATTTTACACTTGACCATATGTTGGAAGTGTTTTCAAAATGCTTCAGGGTCCTTTGAGAAGGAATGTGATGTGTAACTGCCAAAAAATGTTGCTATTATATAACTGTTAAACATAGTGTTTTGCAAACTGCACCTCCTGGAATAAGTGTGGTGGCTTTTTTTCTTTTTTTTTTTTTTTTTCTTTTCCTTTGCGAAAGTGCTTTGCAACACATCCAGTGTTTTGTCATCCCTTCCTTTTCAGGAAACAAGTTGATCCTTAAAGAAGCCTAAATAAAGAGAGGATTTTCAAGGGTTTTGGGAGCATAAATTTTTCTGAAAGGCCGGAACCCAAGGATAGATGTCCTCTTCTCTCATCTGGGAGTAATGCAGAAGTGGCCAACCTTAGCTTGGTATCCATTACAAACTATGGCTCAGGCTTCAGAGGTCACCTGAAAAACTGCTCAAGGCTTTAGGTATGGAATAAGGGTGACCAGACTACTGTCAAGGCTTAATTTAAAGTTATGCATTACTCCATCAGTGCCTGCCTCAGTGATGGCTTTGCTAGTGCTTTTAAATGGAGATTGCAAGAGAAAGCCAGACCTTTTAGCTATAGGACTTATGAATCAGTGTATTTCTCTTAAATGTAGAGTCCTGCAGCTTCAGTAAGATGAAAGTTGGACCAGATGATGGGCTTGGGTCCCCCAGAGAGGTCATTGTTGTCCTGCGGATCTTGGTCTCCTGTGTCTGCTGGCCTCATATAGTGGGCTTGGGTTCCTGGAAGCATCTCAGATCCATCCCAGACCGTTGTGTGGGCCACTCAATCCTGTCCAGGGAGTGGGATGCCTCTCATCCCTCTATAGATGCTGCATATGGGCAATATGGACATGCTGTAGGTGCAGGTTTCTCTCTAGTCCCTATAAAGTGGATCCCAGTGACTTGCCTGGATGGAGCTGTCTCCTACCACATTTGCAACCCAAACTCTGAGTTACTTGAAGAATACAAACCACCAAGAGGAAAGGGAATTTTTCTAAGATAGGTTTTAATTTCTGATTAACACCTAGTATGTCATTTTGGTCTTACTTCTCTCAATTCCACCCTTTCAGTCCTCTTTTCCCAAAGTTGCTTTTTTTTTTTTTTTTTTTTCTTCCCCCATCCCTGGAAATTATTATTTCCCTAGAAGAAAACACAACAACAACAAAATGTTGCTTTGCACTATACCCAAAGCAGTGTGCCCCTATTTCTAATAGAGATGAATAATAGTATTAATTAGTGCAAAGACAAATAGTCTTGAGTAATGGGTATGTCAGCCAGGATGTCTCCTAAGGAAAGTGATCACTGAGATGGGAACTGTTTCCTGAAATCTGGGCTTGCTTCTGGCTGTACATTAGAAAATAGGAGGAGAAATACTAAACAGGACTTGTTTATATATTGTTTATATATTTTTATATATTATATATATATTATATTTTTATATATTTATATTTTTATATATTATATATATTGTTT